GGCCGGACTGAGGACAGGCAAGGGGACACCAGCCAGGCTGGCCCCCGGGGAGGAGCCGCCGCCCGGTCCCTGCTCCCAGATGTGCCGCGGCCGCCGGCGCCCTCCCCCACGGGAAACTCATCGATTCTCCATCTGAGCCGCTCACGGCTCTGCTTCCGAGGAGTGAAGGAAATTTCCATACCTGAGGGCTCTCGCCTATCACTCCAGAGCCATCTGTTGCCACCAAGTTTCTCCAGGACCAGGGCCACCAGCTGAGGCTGACACGTTTGAGAAGAGCAGCCCCTCATTTCACACCGAGCTGCTCCCTGAGCCCACAGCTGTCCGCAGCGTGCCAGCTCATGCAGCCTCTGCTCGTTAACTTCAAGCCCAAGTGCCCTTGGCAGGGCACCGTCCCGCCTGCTGCGGCCCTGCACGCTGTCCAAACAGCCTGAGCGCCCGAGATTGTCTCGCTGGTCAACCCCGCCGGAGCGTGGCGCCTGCAGCCTGCCCGGCGGGGCACGCGTGCCAGCCGCCCTGCCTGTGCCCACCGCGGCGACCGCCTTCCTCGCTCAGGAGGCTCACTCATTCATTTGCTATTCATTTATTCTCTCGTTCACTCAACAAATATTTACAAAGCCCTCACTCTGCATGAGGGTGGCACAGAAATGAATTAAGTACACATGGTCCCACAGCTCTTTGTGGTTCTGACAGGGAGATAAGAAAATCCGTGTTTGCGGTCTGCAGGGCTCGCTGCCGGCGTGTTCTGGTGACAACACCCTGATTTTCCTGGGAAAGCAGCCCCCGCCCGCCGCCACCCACGAGGCTGCTGTCCTGGGCCAGTTGGGACCTACGCCTCTGGTGACAGCATGGATCGGCCAGGGAGGTGTGCGTGTCACCCGCTTCAGGCCATTGAGACTCAGTTCTGGAACCCTCGCTGGAATGACCATGAACCCAGAGACAGGGGAGGTGCCAGTGCAACTGGTCAAGGCCAAAGAATGCATCCATTCTTCCACCAATCCAGGAAGGCTTCCTGGAGGTGGAACTTCAGGTCTTAAAATGGTGGGGAGAAGAGAGCGCAGCCAGCACTCACGTGTGTCCGCCACCCCGCGCCTGGCCCGCCCGTCCAGCTCAGGTGAAGACACGGAGTCCGCGGACCAGATGGGCTGAGCCAAGTGCGTGGGAGCGCGTGCTCCCGTGGGTCCCTACAAGCCGCACCCACACACACACCCTCTGCGCGCGAGCTGGATCAAGGTCTAAGTGGTCCCATCTCCAGAAAGAGAAATGGCACCCGCTGCCCCAGAGAACCAAACACGGGGGGACACTGCTCTTTGCAGGGGGCGTCAGGAGGACGCTAACTCTTCTCTGAGGTGTGCTCGGCGCTGCTCCGAGAGCTGCTTCCGGGCGGAACTCTGCCACCGGGAAGCTCGTGACCTCGGGAAATAGCTCCCCTTCTCTGGGCTGCGTGATCTCCAGGCGCCTGTCCAACACACCCGTTATTTCTGAATCAGTTAGACAGCAGCGCTGGGGCCAGCAGGCGTGGGACAGGAGCCGGAGAACGTGAGGCTGACCACTGCCCCGGGGCCGCCATCTGCCCTGCTTGGAGGGCCTGTCCCCACACTGGGGCCCAGAAGCCGCACCCTGAAACGGCTGCTTCGCCGTCACCACTCCCGGCCCAACTTCCCAACACCGTTTCTCTCCTTACGTTTTCCTTCCGTTCCAGGGAGAACAGGGCAGAAAATTTTGTCAAATAAAGACAAAAGTGCTCGATGCCGCTAATGGCATCCCAAGGAAATGAAGGGTAAAACCGCATGAGTTATTCAGCTTCACGTAATGCTTTTACCAGAGGCCCTGGAAAGAACGCCAGTGGGAGGAAGGCTGGCTTCCTTGGAAAGATGGAGTTCTGGCGAGACTGTCGGGGAGCCGGGCCCTTTGGGCACAGATGCAGGATGGGGAGGCCTGTAAGTCAAGGTGGGCGAGGACCAAGACTTAAAACCTCTGTCTCTCTTTTACGCGCACAGAGAGAAAGGTGGAGAGCACAAGGCCACATGCTATCCCCAGTTTTCAAAGGGAAAACTGTGTGTGGGCTCTCCCTCGGCCAATTTTGAAGGATGCCTTAAACTGCAGGATGCTCTGAGAATAAAATCCAAACTCCCTCCTTTGGCTTCCAAGCCCAACAAGGTTGGAGCCAGCCCCGGCCTCCAGCCCCACCCTGCACGCCCGCCCTCCAGCCAGCCCGCTCCTCTGAGTTCCTCGAAGGCTCCAGGCACATGCACCTCGGAGCCGCACCCTTGACGTGCCCTCCTTCGGGATGCCTCTTGGCGTGGCTGTCCCCTGCTTCCCTCTGGGGCTCTACTCAAATGCCATTTGTTCTGTGAGGCCTCCCTGAACTACCCCCAGTGTAAGCAGGCTACTCTTCTCAGTGTTCTCCTAGCATTTATCCCTCTCTGAGCTCACATTACTCATCGGCCACTTATCTTCTGCTTCCTCTTCCTGGAAAGGGGAAGGCGGGAAGGCAAGCACTGCATGGGATTTGTTCGTCCCTGAACCCTCAGAGCCAGGCGCAGTGCCGGCCACAGGATGGGTGTGTCGGCCAGAACATCAGAACCAGGAGATGCCTATAAATATATTGGGGGGCGGGTCACGGAGAACCGGCCCACTCATTTGTGGGAGCTGGCTGAGCCGTCTTTGGAAGGCCGTGTGTCGCGTGGGGTGCTGCTGCCCGCGGCACACAGGACAGGCAGTTGGGGGGCAGGTGGATGTAAGCAGGGGTTAAGAACAAGCTGGAACCCGTGAGCATTAGCAACAGCCCCAGACAACAGACGACTGTTCCTCTTGCCTTCCAGCGTGGTCACAAGGCTGTCCTGCAGAAGCCGAGCCCTTCATTCCCGAGCTGAGTGTATACACTTGGCCAGGCATCAAAAACCAGAAAGAAGATGCAGGCAGAGGTTGCAGGTGTGGTCGCAGCCCCCGCGCGCCGACAAGGCGAGTCAGCAGATCGGCAACAAGATGTGTCAACTACAAAAAATGCCTCCCAAATCTTGCAAGAATCTCCCCTGTGGCCCTTCCTCAGTGTCAACATACGAGAAAGAGGGTTCTAGGACAGGTAGGCGAGCCTGGCCAAGTCAACGCATCTCAAAGCCATTGCGGCATGTCCACATCGGCACGCACAGATGGAGCGAGGGAGTGGTTTGGGACGAAAGTGTGAACTCCTTACTCTGGCACGCCGATCTCTTTGTGGTCCAGCCTCCGCCTGCCCATCCGCCTATCCCAGTCCACCTGCCTCCTGATCCCTTAAGGGTCTCTAAACAGCGCGGGCTCATTTGGACCCTCCCCTCTGTCCGGAATACTATTCCTCGCCCATCTGCCTGGGTAACCCGTAGCACCTTCTAAGATTCAACCTGTCAGCAATATCTCCTTTAGGAATCATTCCACACCAGACAGAGTTAGAACCTCATCTGTGTTCCTTCCTCAGTTCCCTCTTCTGGGAATAGCTATTAGTCCACATTTCTTTTGTCTCTTTCCAGAGATGGTCTAGTCATTTACCAACAAAATACATATTTCTTTTTTTTTCTCACATGAAAGATAGCATACTATATATATATATTTTTTTTTTTCTGGATCTTGTGTTTTTTTATCTTAACACTATATCTCAGAGATCTTTCCAAGTCAAAATATACAGAACTTCTTTATTCTTTTTAAAGGCTGCATGGAATTCCATAGGAGTGGACCATAATTGATTTAACTGGTTGCTTTTTTGCTGGGTGTTGAGATTGTGTTCCATTTTTCACTAGGATAAACAACATTGCAGCGAACACCCTTATATAATACAAGACTAGACCATGCCTCTGCCCCTTCTACACCTGGCCAACTTCTAGTGCTCTACAGAATTAAGCATAAATATCACCTCCTCCAAGAAGCCCACCTAAATCTTTACTAAGTTGGGTTGGCTGGGTGACCCTCTTTGGCTTCTGGGCACCTGGTACATGCCTCCCCTGTAACACTTGTCATAAGATATTGATGCGTCTGACTTGGGTCTTGTTCATCTCTGAATCGCCAGCGCAACTCACAGTATCTGACACACCGTAGATAATAAATGTTTGTGAATTGAATGAACATCACATTTAAACCCCTGACTTTTGGGGGTTCCAAATCTTGGACCACTCTAACTTATGTATCCATGCTCACCCAGCTCGGTCAGGCTACCTCCCTGTCCCTCACCTGCCCTATTCCAAGTCCTCTTGCTCCTACCATCCCCTGTCTGAAATGCCCTTCCCTTTCGGAAGCCCTTTGCTGTCCTTCAAGACACAGGTCTCCCCCTACCTCCTCCACGAAGGGAGCTTTCGTTGAAATATCATCTCTCCCTTTTCCGAACTGCTGCTGCCTTTATAGTCACTTTGGCATATTTTTTCAAGCTCCATTGCTCACTAATTGTTTCCCGTCTGTTGATTTTGTGTCCCCAGCTAGACTGTGAGTTCTTTGAGAGCAGTGTCTTATATAACTCTTGCATTTCCCACAATGCTGGGCTCGTGGTAACTGTTCGATACTTCTGCGTTGCTAAATCAATTGGTTCCTTCATTGATTGAGTCATATCCCAATGCTGACTACTGGAAATTGTCCCTGGGGCACCCACGAGGTGCTAAAAACCCCAGTGCTGACCACTGTCATAGTGGAAGACACACGCCACATAGAGAAGCCTGAGGCTCCTCTCCTTTCTACCCCAGCCTACTCAGGTGGGGACTTTTGCAAGAACCACTCTCAGCACATCATGTCTATCACTCTAAAGTCCTCCAGGACCTCCCCAAACACCTCTGCTTTGGAAGTCCCTCCTTTGGAAGACACTCGCAACATGTGTTGTGAGCTCCTGGAACCACTGGCTCCTCAGGAGAAATGGAGCACCCAGAGAGAGCCGGGTGGGCTTCCCCCGGACCCCACGTCCAGTCACTCTTCCAGAGAGAGTTTGACACAAGTCTGACTTGATCAGCCTTTATTTCTATCACAAAGACATGAAGCAGGCTGTTGATCCCATCGGGGTAGCATAGCTAAGTCACAGCTAACAGAGTCAAAGGAAACATTTAATTGGGTTTAGAACTGAACTTTGGAAGAAAAAAAAGAAGAGAGAAAGAGGAAGCAAGAGACATGTGTTTATCACCAACAATCCAACCTTGAGGCTCAAATTGATTTAGGCTGCCAGCTAAGGATGAGTTGGCCGTTCAGAAGGAGGAGGGGGCGTGTGCCAATGGGAGACAAAACGTCAAGTGGAAATTTTCTCTCTTGTCCTTGGTATATACAACCTTCTCATTAACCCTAACACCCTCAAGGCAGTTGAGCCTACTGATGGCCCCCAGTGCGTGGCAGCAGGCCCTAAAGTCATCTCTTCCATGCTCTCCTCATTCATTTGGTCACGTACAAGGGGTGGGCACAGAGATGAGGGGCTGCTGCCTGCCCTCCATATGTTCCCCACCCAGGGGGGGAGAGAGGTATGAAAGCAGATCGGCAGAAGGCAGGTGGTGTGTCCTGCAAGCCACTTATGGACACCATGCTTTGTGCTCCAAGAAGCAGAAGTGACTGATGTGGTCCGGGGGCACTAGGGAGGGAGATTTCACCCGTGATATTAGAGCTTGATCTTGAAAGATAAGCGAGAATGTTCCAGGGGAAGGGGGTGGGAGTGGGCTGGAAGTAGAGGGAGGTCCTCCAGGTAGAAGATACCAAAGACAAGAAAAGACAGAGGTGGTGAGCACAGTGTGCAGTGAAGTTTCTACAGGGCATAAGATTAGAGGTGGCTGGAGCACCCTCGGGGCACATCACGCTTTTAGAGGCAAAGTTAAAGGGTTAACTTCTTCTAGTAGGCAGTAGGGAGAGAGAGGAGATATCTCATCAGGAGAGGAACATGAACAGATTGATCTTTTTAGAAAGCCGATGGTTTAGAGACCAGCATTGGAGGTTGGAGACCAGCTGGACAGGCTGCTGCTGCAATTTCCCAGGCAAAAGAGGTGACGAGAGCAGTGGAGATGGACAGGGGAGCAGACCGTTGATATTTAGGATGCAGAATCTTTCACGCTGTGGTCATGGATGGTATATTGGCAGGTGGCGGGGTGAACTGGAGCTAGGGTGGCTGTATTTAGGGGTGCCATTACCAAAGCCGAGGAATGGGGGAGGAGCATGCTCAGAGAGGCAGCCAGTGGCTCACCGCTGGGCAGCTCTGTGCAGCTGAAAGCTGGAAGTCCGCACGGGATGCCCAGGATGAGAGATGCAATTTGTGCAGGAGGCCCATAGGTAGGTAGTACCTGCAACCATGGGTGACAGAAAAGCAAGGGCTAAACATTGGGGGAAATTGGCATTTGGGGGCTGGGCCACAGATTACCAAGGAGGAGAACCAGTTATGACCAAAGTTCCAGAAGCAAGAGGCACAGGAGTTTTAAGGAGAGGCATATGGCAGTGTATAAAGGGCACAGAGTGGATTGAAAACCAGCCTAAGGCAGAAATCTGTTGCATTTGAGCACTCAGTGTCCCTTTTCTTCAACATACTGATTTCAAAAAAGGTAAATCTGCAGTCCATTTTGTTTGGATGGATCTGACCCTGCCATCCTTCCCCCTTGGGGTCAGAAGTGGTCACGTGACCCAAACCTGGCCAATCTGATAATCACTCCTTTCTGGCCACAGATTAGAATTCAGACAAAAGGATGTGACTGATGACAGGCCAATGAGAGTTAATTCTAGGACTTTTGAAACCGTCCTGCTGGGGTTGCTGTGCTGTGAGACACCAGGGCAGAGCTTCCAGACATCAATTTGCCACCCCCGGGCTTGAGAATGACACCAACACAGGGAAAGGAAGAGCTGAGAAATAGAGACTCTTGCTGACGTTTTTTTACCCCCTGGATCCAGCTAGGCCTAGACTTTTTTTTAGTTATTTGGACCAACACATTTGCTTTTAAGCTTAAGTCAATTTGATTTGGGTTCTGTCACTTGCAACCAAAGGGGTCCTGACCCAGACATGGCCATGTGGCTAATGAGAGGCTGCTGGTTACAAGAGTAGCATCTGGAGAAGACTTTAGCCCAGCCCTGCACTTGCATATCACACAAATTACCAAGAACAGGTCGGTGGTTATGGCCATGGGAAAAAAAAAAAACAACAAAAACTAGAAACAGATGAGCTGGCTGTGTCTCAATACCTGCTAGCGTGAAAACACAATGATTTCCTTTATATTTTTCAAGGGTTGAGTCGTCCAGGTCAGTCCTGGCTTGGCACATCCACTTATTGTTCCTGCCAAGGGAGATGGTTAGGATGGGAAGGTTGATTTATTTGAGTACACATGTGTCAACATCATCCTGGAAAAAAAAAAAGTAGATTGCAGATATGCTTTGCTGGCATATGCTGTTACCAAAGAGGCCTCTTTCTTGGCCTCAAAGCCCAAAGCCACGATGTTAAGACATTGTTTGAGTCTTGAAGTTGACCAAGCATGGACACATGGCATGATGGACACAGGGCCCTGGGAGAGCAGAGTCGTCCTCTTCTAACACCATGGACAAGGTAGGAGGGCTACTTCATAGGAAATGGACTGAGTCAGGCATCATGAGAAAGAGCCAGTCACATGAAGTACCCGGGAAGGAGGAACAGCAAATGCTAAGAAGGCCAGTGTGGCTCTAGAACGTTGAGTGAGGGCAGAGAGACTGCCATACTCTCTGTCCAGGACACCCACATTGAGTCTTCACTGTCTGGTATTCTCTGGTACTTGATATATTTCATCTCATCTTTTCGTGTATCAACCCACCCCTGCATCCATTCCACAAACACTTACTACGCTGGACGGTGGGTGGTGCCAAGTCTTGAAGGAAGAGTTCGCCAAGCAGAAGGGGGAAGACCCCATCCTAAGCAGAGAAAAGCAAGTGAACTGAGTCCTAGGAAGGTGAAAGCTCACCACTTGGGTGGGGCCTGTTGGGCAGGGCGTTGAATGCCAGCCTTTCGTCCCAGGGGGGCATTCCACCCTGTAGAGAACACAGAGCACCCACATGCGGAACACCAGGAAATAGCGATGCATGAAAAAAATTGTAGTGAAATTCGTGATTTGGGGATCAATCAGAGATAGATAGAATTATATTCAAATACAGCCGAGTGGTAGCTTGGATTGCAGGCTTAAGGGAAGGCGAGCAGAGAAACACTTAAGATGGAGACTATTCCATCAATTAGCTTAATATTTTTCTGCCAACCAAGAAAAGACTATCATTAGTTAATATTAGTGATGGCCCAGCTTGCTTCAGCTTAGAGAGCACCTGTTTTCTGCCGAACGTCATTTGAGATCGGCTGGTGTGGGCCAGAGGGAGCTGTTTCAGGGCCTCAATCAGGCAGTGACATGATCAGATTTGTGCTTTGGAAAGGTCACTGTGGCTGCAGGGTGAAGCGGGAAGAGATGAGTGGTTGTTAGGAGGCTGTAGGAAAAATGTGCATGACGAGAAGCAGAATCTGGGCAGAAGCAGCAGAGATGCAAATTCCCTGAAGGCAGGAGTTTTTCTCTGTTTCATCCTTTTTAGCAGAGCCGGGCAAGAGACAGGCACAGCCACTGGTAGGTTTTCAAAATGCCTACTGTCTTGTGTAAAAGCTAATGGAGTCTGGACAAAACAAAACTGTTTCCTCTCTCCAGAGTCCCCCTGCTCGGGAGAGGCATCATGGCTACAAACAGACAGAGGTGGGGTGTTTTCTGAGGTTGGAAAGACTCAAGGTGTTGAGGAAATATTAAATGAGACAGAATGCAAAGCTCCTGTTACCTGAACCCAGCCCCAACCTGCCTGTTATGTCAGATCTGTGCAAATGAGACATCTATTAGGCTTGGGGGCGTGTGCTGCTCATCTTGATAAAAGAATGACCATCTGTCTCTCTACAGGTGCTAGAAAGGCCAAAGCTAAAAGGCGTCCATTTGAGACTGTTTAAGCTCCTATTTCACACGACAGTACCTTGCAGACACATGGGATTCTCACACCATGGAAGAAGAATGTCGAAAATGTGTCTAGATGGTGTCCAGTTCCCTCTACCACGCCCTCCTCTTTGGAGTCTGTGCTGCCTTCCAGGGAGAGTGGGGCCCACGTGCGCTTTCCAGCAGCAAGACTGCTGCTGCCATGAAACACACCTCCCGCTTGTGCAGGGCTCACGCTGAGCTGAGCCCTTGTGAGGGCCTCACAAGCCCTGTCTCCTCCAAACTTCTTCACTGAAGGGCACGAATGACCAACTGTTTTGTCTAACCACTACCCTCTCAGCATGTAATAAGCCTGCCCCTGCCCCTGCCCCTGCCCCTGCCATGGCCTGGCCTCATTGGGGTTCCCTTCTGCCTTGATTAGGACGACGAGAAGACAATGAAATACTTGTCCCCAAAAGTGATTTCTTGGATCCATTGGCAAAATGTTAGAAAGTGGGTACAAAGCCCAAGAAACCGGACACCGGGGCTCTTTAAGCTTAAGGAGTATCACAGAACCCTATCCCAGGCCAAGAATGAGTCACAATGAAAGCTTTTAAAATATAAAACCATCAACCTAGATTTCAATTCCAAGGAAACACATACTTGGCCATGAGGGAATGCTTAAAAAAAAAAAAAAAATCAAGCTTAAGCCACTTGACAGGAAAATAAAACAGCCAAGGAACATTCAAATGTAATGATTTACATCCTGCCCCAGCTCCCTTCCAATGTGGGTCAGGGCGTACATGGACATGACGGCGGCCGTGTGCATGCCCTCTCAGGCTCCCTTCTTCTCACCTAACACCATCTTGCACACACAATCGCATGCCTGGACCCAGCCGGCTTATAGCTGCACAATGCTGCCGGTGGGTTGCTATGCCAATCTCTTGGATTTTTCATGATCTCCCTGCTGTTGGGCTCTTGGGTTATTTGGGGGTGGCTGTTTGGGGAATATAAGGATTTTTCTCCCGTTATTTATGTGTGCAAGCACTGTTCATTTTGCTCAAAGAAATGGAAGCTTGATTGATTTCCTAAATGTAAGAATGAGATTGTCCTGCAATAAATATTTAAGACTGACCAGGAAAGGCGACCACCATCTGCTGAAACACTAGATCAGGAATTACTTGCTTAAGCTTCACGAACAGAGGGAATGAATGAATAACCATCCTATATGATATTTGTTCAGCACCTGGTAGTTTACAAAATGTTTTCACTTATCTTATTTGATCTTCACAATAACCCCTGAGAGGTAGACAGGGCATGGATTACCAGGATTATGAAAACCCCACATTTTTTTTTTTTTTTGTCTTTCTCAACAGATAAGTACTCTAAAGGCTTAAAGTCACTCGAGGGAGGTCAGGGAGTTTGGGGACTAAATCTCGGGCCTCTAATTCATTCATGAACATATTTCAAAAACATTTATCCGAAGCCTGTTCCAAGCCAGATGAGATGGTAGTGGGTACAAAGATGAATAAAACACGGTGTCTGCGTGGGAAGAAGATCACGTTCCAGCCTGGGGGAGAGCGCCGGGAGAAGTAAACAAGTCCCTGCGTCGCGAGGTGACGCGCGCTCCCGAGAAGGGAGCAGAGAGGGGCCACGTTCCCAACCTGGTGTTCTCACCGCCAACGGCTCAGTTGTTATTGACGATACATGTCCCCCGAGGGGGCGGGGGGGGGAAGGGGCTTGGTCGTGTGCCTGGGGTCAGAGCTCACCGTGCTGGGGGACTCGGCCGGGGAGTGGGGACAAAACTCTCCCTCATTCGGCACATTTTTCCCCCCCGGGGTGTCGCGCCGAACCCCGGGGGTCCACGCACGGGCTCCCCGGCTCTGCCCCCGCGGGGTCTCTGTCTCGGGAGGGCCGCCCGCACGCCCCCGCAGCCCCGCGCGGCCCGGGGGGTCGCCGGCCCCGCGCCCAGGTTCGGTGCCGCCGAGCCGCTCCGCCGCCGCGAGGTCCGCGGGCGAGCGCCCAGCTCCGGCGGCGCGGCAGCCGCAGCCCGTCCTCGCGATTAACTCGCCCGGCGCCGCTCGGCTCTTTTTATTGTCATTTATTTTATTTTATTTCATGCGTTTTGCCATTTGCCTCAAAGAAATTGTTCATGTTGATTGTGAGTGGCACACCCGGCGCAAGGGAGCATTCTGCGTTAGAGAAAAAGCACATGGTGGCGGCAGCGGTGGTGGTGGTGGCGATGGTGGGGTCCCCAGCCCTTTCCTTCCCCGGCGCCGCGGGGTCCCTCCCGCCTGCGCCCCGCGGGGGCCGCTGTCCGCCGGCGCCCTCGGCGAGCCGGCACCCGGCCCGGGGTCTCTGCGTGCGCGCCCCGCTTCGCCAGCCCCGCGCTCGGCACGCGGGGCCGCCACGAACACACGCGTGGGCAAAGTTTGTTCGATGCAGAAACAAAGGCAGGCGCGAGGCCCGCTCGGGGGGCTGCAGGGCGACGTCCCTTTGTTAAAACCCCAGTCCCGGGAGCCCTGCCCGCAGCCCCGCGGGCGCCCGGCTCGCCCGGGACGCGGGAAGCCGGCCCTGCCAGGCCCGGGGCCGAGACACGCGGCCGGCCCTCCGCGCGACCCCGACCGCTCGGGTGCCCACCCCCTGGGGCTCAGGCCCCGCGGTGGCGGGGAGCGGGGCGAGGGCCTCGGCGGGGCGGCCGCCTGCCCTGGTCGCCACGCGCTCGCCCGGGCGGCTGGAGCCCGGCGCGGCCCCGCGAGGCCCCCAGTTTGAATCCCCCCGGGCCGGTGAATCCCCCCGGGTGGTGTGTTGGGGTGCGCTGCTGCCCCCAGGCCAGGCCAGTCGCGGGAGACCAGGCCAGGGACGCGGGGTTTACGGGGCCAGGGCCCAGCATGCGGGCGCACGGGCCCAGGGAGAGGACGAAGTTTATTGGGGGTGGGGGGCGTCAAAGTTTTCGGGGAACTTTCCACTTGAGATTGCACAACCCTGCAGTGCCCCCTACAGAAAGTGGCAGCTGGGGAGGGTGGGTGGGAGCCCCTCAGGACCCCCGGCTGCTGTGGTGCACGGCCGCAGCGGCCTGGAGCTCAAGCTTCCTTTTTTCCCTTTTTTTTTTTTTTTTTTTCTGGTTGTTTTTCGGATACATCATTTTTTTTTCAGAGTTAAAAAAAAAAAAAAAAGGCGAGCGCGCTCGCCGCCTGCAGTGGAGCGTGCTTGGCCTGCAGAGGCAGTCGTCTCCAACTTTTCCGCTCCCGCCCCAGCTCCCCGCGCCCAAAACTTTCTGAAAAGAGCCCAAATTTGCCTGCCGCACAACTTCCACTCTAATGTAGGCGCCAAGACCCCTGGCAGAGGTTTGGGGCTTAGGGGCCACGCTCCTGAGGCTCGGGGCGGCCCTCTCGCCTGCTCCCAGCGCCTGGGCCCGCTGGGGGACGGGGAGACCGGGCGCCCCGGGAGAACCTCTGGAGAGGGCGGAGCGCTCCCAGTGTCCCGGGGCAGAGGGGCAGGGAGCTCCCGCGCCCGGAACGTTGCTAGCAAGGCTTGTGAGCGTCGCAGGGGGGCACCCGCGAGAGACGGACAGGAAGAGGGCCGGGGGAACGACAGAAAACGGGACCGTAGCACGGAAACGGCCTGGGACTGAGCTGCAGTTTGATCCCGGGATGGAGGGAGCCGGAGAAGAGGAGTGAGAAGGCCGGGGAGGCATGCCCTGCTGTCCTCCTGGAGGCCTGAAGTTTGCTGGCAGTGAAGGACCAGGCCGCCCAGGAAAGGAAAGGGTCAGGAGGTCGGGCCTTAGCAGGCTCAGACAAAGCCCAAGAAGGCAGCAGCAGACACCCTAAAAGTTCAGGGCCCTGGCCTGTCTCAAGTTGTCTAAAGAGGACCTAAACTAGGCCTCTGGTGGAGAAACTGAGTCAGAGCCAGGCCTCAGGGCACTGCCTGTTCGCTTAAGAACCAAGTTAAGCACAGGGAAAAAAAACCTTTGTGGTTGTTACAGACTAAGGAGAGTAGGGGGCTTCAGAGCCTCCCACTCCAGACCCGGATTGGCGAATTAGACGCTTGTAGATCCAAGGTTGGATTGGGGAGGGGTCTCTAGGACATTTGCTCACTAAGCAAGGATTGGGGGGATTCATGTGCTTAGAGATCGAAGGCAGGCCTTGGGTAGGGGGATTAGACAATTGGAAAGCCTAGGTGGTTATTTGGGGAGGGGTCTCTGCGCTTTGTCGAAGCTCGAAGCTGCTGCCTTTTTGGCTTCAAGCCTGAGGCGTCGTCAGGAGAGGTTTCTGTGAAAGGGTGGGCTGGCCAGGGCCAAGAAACTGAATAAATCTGGATTATAAGTGGGCTGGGGTCCCCTGAGCGGGGGGTCACAAAGGGTGAGACATGGCCACCAGGCGTTTAACCGACGCTTTCTTGTTGTTGCGGAATAATTCCATCCAAAACCGGCAGCTGTTAGCTGAGCAAGTGAGTAGTCACACCACCTCCAGTCCTCTGCATTCACGTAGCATTGCTGCGGTGAGTCTCCCGGCGGCCTCTCCGACACACGCACCGTGTGTGTGCACTGCGGCTCTGCCTGTCTGTCTGTCTCTGTCTGTCTCTCTGTTTAAAAAAAGAAGATAAGAATAATAAGACTAATACGGAAGTGTAAGATCTCTTGGCTAGGGTCAAGGGGCATCTAAAACCCAGGATGGGGAAAAACCCGTATTAGGTCCGCTCCACCTCTGCCTGGCTCTCTCTCCTCACTTCCGTAGCACCCCCGCCCCCCTCCCGGCGTCACTGCACGACCGGCTGCCTGCAATTTACATATGTTTTAACACTAAGATTTGGAAGCGCTGTGCCTTTCTGAAACCTTCTTTTTGTTGCGTTTTGTTTTCATCCCCCCTTCCCCCCCCAATAGTGAGCCTCGGTTTGGCTCTAGCGGCTGGGTTGGTGGAAAGCGGACTTTAATCCTTGCAAATGAACGACTCCCTCCCCCACGAAAGGAAGGAGTTGTGTTGTTTTGGTTTTTTCCTTTCTGCCCATTTTCTTTTAATGGTCTCGCAGCCCTCTCTATGTGGCCGCGTTCCTGATGAATAATTGCTTCACTGTTTTTCCTGGGGGCTTGTGTTTGTGAGAATGTAAGGTGCTAGGCTCTTCATTTTCCATTTCCCAGACAGGAAATTAAGCTTTCCTCTCCATTTGAACTTTTTTAAAAAACATAATGTGTATGTGAAAATTAAGCCCCCAAAACAGGACATATTTTTTTATTTTATTAAACAGAACCTTTTAGCCTAGCAGTAGAGTTTTTTAGGGAGGTCCTGTTTTTTTTTGTTTTTAATGGGGGCTAACTTTCCCTTTCTGAGACTCAGTTTACTGCTATGTTAAACAATGGGGCAGGTCTGAATGATCTGTACAAGACAGTGATTATTAGCTCTGTAATATCTTTAATTGAAGCGTGAAGTTATGAAACTAGTTGTTATAGGAGGCTACCTGCTGTAGACAGGCAAGGTTTGAATAGCAGCAGCACTGGAGCATGAGGGAATAGTCATCCCTAAACCAGATTCTTGGGGATTATACTTGAAATATACAGTTTTGGAAATCCCATACTTACCTCACCTCTTAGGAACTGTATTGCCTTTTAATTTTTTCTTCATGCTTCAGAAAAATTATGCCATGTGTCATGATCGTCGACATGTCTACAAAGACAGCGTCTACAAAGACAATTTTTCCTTTTAGTAAATCACAAGTGGGAAATGTCTTTGGCCATATTGATCATAGGAAAGCAATTTTAAACGTGTAAGCAGTTATAGAAATGAAAGCATGTAAACTCAAGGGAAAAAGCATAGAAAACGGACAGAGTGTGTTTGGGTTTTCATTTACTTAAGAATTTGGAGATTTTTTTTTTACATTTATAAACTAAAAGAAATGGCATTACACAAAATGTAAAGATCTCTGTTAGCACTGAAACAGGCTAATTCTAGTGCTAATTTTGAAAAGAGTATCCTGAAATAAGCCACCAAATAAGAGAGTAGAAATTGAATGAATAAAATTCCTCAAGGGAACTTTAGTTATGTTAAATCAGAACTGCATATTCCTTATTGACTTGATTTTATGCTATTTATTGGGGGGGGGGCAGAACTAAAACTAAGGTTAATGTTTCCAGGGTTTTCAGTTTTAATTGAAAAACATATTGTTTGTTTTTAAATTTTAATCATATAAGGTTCAACACACCTTTGGGTAACATGAGGTTTTTTTTTTTTTTTTTTTTTTTTTTTTTTAACCATTAAGGCAGACAGTTAAAGAACCTAGTGTCTGAGAGACGGGAAGGCTTTCAAAACTGCACCTCAGCGTCAAATCGCTTTTTAAAATGATTTACTAACTTAGGCAATTTTTAAAAAATACATAAGCTAAGTAAAATAATTAAATATGGATAGCTAAAGTATGCAGTTTGGAAAAATAGATATGTTAGCAACTGTGCATATACATTTAGCTAACCCAGTTTTTTTGAAAATAGATTTCTAAATCTAACTAAAAATGCATGTTTAAGTCAGAACATTAAAAAATATTTTCTGTATTTTTCTATATTTATATATGTCAGTCATACCACTGAAAATGTTACGTATTTGTATTAATCTGGCCATTTAAAAATCTTTCTCAGGTCATTAAAGCAATGAGATCATTTTAAATATCCTTATAGTCAATTCAGACTATCTAAAAAATAGATTTTGCAATCTAACATAAATAGTTTGCCTAAGTTAAAATTTAAGAAGAAAATACACATTTATATTTTTTAATTGTGTGGTTTAAACACAGGGCATGTCATAAATTTCTGAAGTGTTTGGAGGTAAACTGTTAAATCTTCAGTTTGCTTACAAGTGATTTTACAGATACTATTTCTGCACACATGCAAAATCAAATACGGCAAGATGCTAACATGACTAAATAGAGGTTACAATTTTCTCAACTTTTCTGGAATATAGAAACGCATAAACATTTTGGAGAAAGCCATGTCTAACACAATTTTTAAAAACTATTGAATAACTCATGCAGTGCTTTTCACTGCATATCTAGCTCATAAAAAATTTAAAGCCTCGTAGTTTCTGACTTGTAAATTTCAAAACCATGTAGCAAATCAAAGAAAACTACATCTGTCAAATTTGAATATGAACTAGGTATTAAGTGATATTAAGGTATTATTTAAACTAATTATAGTTAATTTGTTAATTTTATTAGACATGACTACTGAAATGTTTAATAGTTAAATGTCAAGAAGTACATTACTTAAGTACTTAATCCCACCCCCTGCAAAAAAAATAGAGGAAGCAAATAAGGCAAAATGTTAGTAATTGGTAAATCTAGTGATGAACATATGGAGGACATTATACCATTTTACATACTTTGTGTTTGAAAAATTTTAAATAAAAATTTAAATATATTTGTTATAGTAATGTCAGACAATTAAAGGGAGATAATTTGTAAATATATATCTAAAAGTCAGGAAATTAAAAAGGAAGAAACAACCTGAGAGTTTAACTTAATTTTAAAAATTATAACCTGAAATTTTAAGTTTCTAATTAGAAGAAAAAGCTGTAGAGAAGGTGATCTTGATGTATTTGTTATCTAACACACAAGTAAAAATAAATCACAGCTAAAATAATAGATTTTTAAAAAATTATAATCCTGAATTTTCACATCCTTATTTGAGGAAAAGCTTGCAGAAATTGATTGCAAAGTGATATGCATATATATCTCACATACCTCAAAATTAAGCACCCTAAACCCATATCATTCAAAAAATTTAAATCCAAATTTTTTACATCCTAGTTTGAGGAAAAAAACCTGGAAACTGGTTGTTGTTGTTGGGGGGGGGGTTTTGCATGTATGTGTATATACGTGCAGGTTTGCACAGCATTCAGGCAGATACTCCACAAATAAGCAGGAATTTAAGAAGGATATACAGTGACCAAACAAACACAAAGTCCCAAGGGCCAGAAGGGGCCTAAAGGTCATTTGGCCCAACGTCCCCATTCGTGATAACCCCTCATGCCTGCGTTGCTTGACCACATTCTGTGACAGCAATAGGAAATTCCAACAGCTAGCCTCCCCACGTTTTTTAATAACAAAAAAGCTTTACCTTTACGAATCCCGGTCTGTGTGTATCTCCCATCCGGTGGTCCCAGTTCTGGTTCTGTCCCTTAGGGCCTGTAACGCGGGAAGCCTCTTCCTCCTTCCGAGAGAGATAACCCTGCAGCCTTCTTCCCCGGAGTTTTTTCTAGGCTCAGCAGTCGGGGCTCAGACTGCACAGTTAGGTTTCTCTCCTATGAATGATGCTTAGTTTTTCTATATCCTTTCTAAAGTTAAACACCCAGAACTGAACAAAATTATATTTACTTGTATTCTTGGTTGTGTTATTATTAGTAAAACTAATTGTTAAAAACAGACTGGGGTTTGATTTTACACTTTCAGCAAAATGCAGTTGTTGGCATTTCTTATAAATTCCCTTTGTTACATTTTGACCTCAGTTTTGGTACCCCATCACGTTTATGCCTCAGGGTAGCATGAAATAAAGGAAAGAGCAGTGGACTGTAAGTCTGGAAATATAGGGTTAAGTCCCATTCTGCTCCTGACTCAGAGTACGTTTTTAGGCAAGTTTTAAATGTTCCTGGGCATCTTTTGCCTGATTTGTAAACTGAGGGGTTTGAGTTAGGCGATTTCTAGTGACCCCATCAATTCAACAGTGTTCTCTCAAGTTCTGTTTTACAACATTGTTTCTCCTGACCTTAGCTTTAATTTGAAAAGAACTCCATAATCAACAACAGTGTTGTGGCCCTCAGCCCAAGGTCACTGACAAAAACCCTTAGAAGTAGCCCAATATTGTGCAAAAAGTGACTTTGACATTCTGTTGGTCAAGAACAGATTTTAAGACAGCACCTCATTCAAGCAATTAAAAGCAGCTTGGCTTTAGGAAGCTGAATGGATTTATGAAGTTAAAAGAAATCATTCAAAAAATCTGTAAAGTCTTAATGAGTGAAAGTAAATGTTGAGTTCTGTTCTGATCTTATGAAATTCTTTTGTGGATTTGTATGATTTGTTTTGAACTCCTAGAATGAATCTAATATAGGGGTTGCAGCTACTTTGTTAGTGTTTACTGCCTAATCTATACTCTGCTTTAAAATAATGCTTAATCTATAATTGGAAGCTAGAGTTAATTGGTCTTAGATTAGCTTGAAACTAGCACATTATTTTTAATAAAACATATGCTTTAGAAAAAAGAAATTAAAGATTAACTATTAGATTAGCTTGAAGCTAGCACATTATTTTTAATAAAACATATGCTTTAGAAAAAATAAAGAAATTAAAGATTAACTAACTATGGTTATAAGAAACCTTATTCAGTCTTGACTACAATATTAGCTGAGATTTATTGAGAGCTTACCAAGTAAGTGCCTGGTTCTGGGCTAAGCCCTTTTGCATGAGTAAGGTCATCCTCACAGTGCCCTATATAATAGGTGCTATTATTTTTCTCATGATACAGATAAGGAAATGGTTAAAGGAGTTGGGAAACTGGCCCAGTGTCACTCACATAATGGGTCGGTGGGTGGCTGGGGGTGCTGCTGCCCTTGGAACACTGGCAAACCTGTCTTCAGAGGCCTGTGCTCACCTCCTAGGCCACTCTGGTGCTGGCTACATTTTCCAGGACTTGTACTGCAGATCCTGGGAAATGGAAAGACTTATTGTTTAAAACAACATTTTTTTCTTGCAATAGGCTAGCATCTTTCTTTAACTCACTTTACAACCTTACGTAGTCCATTTTAACTTGCATATTGAAGGTTCTCAGTTTGAGTCCAGGCTGAATCTGTTGGAAAATTAGTTCTCTGTCTTTAGAATCCAAGTATGAAATCATTGTATATTTCTCTTTAGATCTATTTGCTTTTCTGCTTTTAAAGATTCCATTTGAGCAGTGAGGCTTACTTGAGAATAAGGGTACTTTGTTGGGTAAAAGTGAAGCAAACTTTTATTTTGGCAGTAACGGAAATAAAGTAAATATCACTATAGCATAGACCTGTATTTCCAACTCGTTTTGCTCAACTTTTCCAGACTTCCTGAGTAAACACAGATGGGTTTCCACTTATTTTTCAGTTTTATGTAGAAAGTTCTTTGGACTATAAATTCTACATGCTACTTGGAGTTTTCAATATTTGCTTGATTGCATGCCATTGGCAGGTCAAAAACCTAGATTTAGACATTATAAAGATTTAGAAGGTGATGATGTGTAGTAACATGTTTTCATTTGGCTGTGTTTTGGTCTTTCCTGATGGTAATTCTAAATGTTTTAATTCAGTTCTTGACGATATTTCCTGGTAATTTGGTGGCAGAGAGAGTTTTGAAAGCCTATTTTTAAATAGCAAAATGGGAGGAGGGGGTTTCTTTGAGAAGATGACTTGAATTTAATTCCTGATGTTGGCGATAGTAGCTGCTTATCACAAATAATTCCTTGAGTTGTTAATAAAATTAAAGAGGCTGGAAGGTGGGGTGGAAAGAGGCCTGAACACCTGGATCTGTCCCCATCCTAACATTAGCTCTGTGACTTCTGGCAATGCATTTATACATTTTGAAGCTTAGTATAGAAAAGAAAAAGAGTTACTTCTAGCTCTAGAATCCCATGATTCTGATTTCACCTCTTATCGACTAATAATTATAGAAATAAAAAGATCCGGGTGTGTGTGCTCGGTTAATAATCCAAAACGATAAGCTCATGTGTAGCAGAGATTTTTAACCGAAGGTTTGCAGTAATACTTGTTCAAAGATTAAATGCCAAGGAGCCACTGCAGAATAGGAAGATTGAGATATGAAGTTAGAGGCTTTGCCTTACATTGTGTTTTATTAATAAAAGATTTCAGTGTTCTCTTACTGAAAATGTAAGCTTTTAAAAAATAAGGACTTGTTTCTTTTTAATGTAAAAGGTAATTGGATCAGGTTTCCCTTTGACACTATCTTCTCTGTTAATACCTAGTAGCACTACTTATTATGGTAGGATGTGTATATAAATATAGTTCCTTTTTGCTTTTAGCAAACTGTAGAAGGAATAAAGAGGATTTTCAGCTTTCTATAATGTCATCTAATTGGATTTTTACATGCAGAAATGTTGTTTGATTACATTTTTATTGCTATCATTGCTTAGTAATATTTTGGCCCTGATAGACCAGCTTCATTTGCACTATTAATTTTTAAAATAGGAAAGATGTTTTTTATTTTCTAAATTTACTGTTAAACATAAAAAAATCACCACAGTTGATTATTGAAATTCACCACTAATTATTTCAGTAATCAATACTGGAAAAAAAAAAGATCTAGTTGCTAGTTGCTTAGATTATCTGTCATTAGTAAATGTCTGTTCAGAAGATAGAATTCCACGTTGATCTAGAAAAGAATCTTTAGCTTTAAATTGAAACTTAACCCTCTGGTGCCGTGCTTCTCCCTTCCAACTCCCTTTTAAAAAATCTCTTATTACCTTTTGTTTTGTCTTGTTTGCTTGCTTTTATAATAGCTTTATGTGCTCTTTCTGTACTAATAATAATACATACCAGGCACATGGTAGAGTTTTTCTTTTATTTTACCACCTGTGTCTCTCTCCGGGAAAGAGTGGTTTCTCAGCTCTCTTACCAGGGATAAAGCCGTGGCTGCGGGATTTAATTTGCAGAGACCTTACATATGTGGTCAATCACATATTATCTGAATATGGCCATAGACAATTTTTGTGGTTTGTTCATTTTTTTATTTTGTTGCATTTGCAGCTATGATTTACATATTAAAATATACATTTATTTGACATGGTAAAATTACATTTTATCTTTGCTCTTATTTTATCTTCCTAAGGGAAATTTAGAATGTGGTATTATACAAGATATTTGATATTTGTGAAATAGATTAACAGTATATTTTAGTGAAACTAAAATGTGTTTTATGTTTCTGATGTATTTTAAATTTTACAAGTATTTACTGCTTGTTTCCCATTTCATTCACCAAAACAATAACCATAGTAAATAAAAATAGCATATATTGATGTAGCTTATTTTTTTTTAAAACAAGGAAGAATCAGAAGAGGAATATTTTTAAATGCCTTGGTTAGTGGATCTTTATTTAGTCAATTTAGAGTTGCTTAAAATCTCAATGTTTTCTCAACTGACCATGCCTTATCTGTCTGTCTGTCCCATGCATCTTTCCTTTTGCTATCCCTAACTGGATGGGACTGATGGGAACCACATATCTCTTCAGGAGCTGGATGAGGTATTGTGTTTTGAATATTTTTTTGTATGTTAAATAATTTCAGTTTATAAAATACCTGCTTTTCCTAAAGTCTTTGCTCATATATAAAATGCCACAGAGCTTATACATATTTTAATTTGTTTTGATTACTTTATAATTGTGTTTAGCAGTTTAGTACTTCAAATTTATTTAATATGCTTTCATACCATGTGAATTGATGATTTAGAAAAAGGGTTAAGAACATTGTTTACTACTCTCCAGAAAGTAACCTAACTTTGGAAGCAGTAAAGGGTGAACATTTTCTTGAACCTGAAGTAAGCCAGATTTTTTTAGGATAATGTCTTAGCTTTCTGGTTTCTGAGAGATGAGTGGTGCAGCTGTTCAGGTGGAACGTAGAAGGCCAGGATGTCTGCTAAAAGACTAGAACCATGTGGCTGGGGGAGAGTCTTCCCGGGCTCTCCCGTGTGGGATGAACTGATACTCTGACACTCACTCCTGCTTAGCAGCATGCTTTTGGTCTTTTCATTACTTCATAGCATCTTGCCCAGAAGGTGGAGAGAGTATATATTCAAAGCACTTTATTTTAGTAGCCCTAATAAAAGGGTTGAAGAAAAATGAGATCAAACTGCTGCTATTAATGTTCAGGTCTATTTATTTCAGCAATGAAGGGGTAAAAATATTTCTCCCGAGTGTAGACTTTTTAAATAGAGTAATGAGGGTGTTGTTTTAGTTTGTTTTAATTTAGAAGTATGAACAGTAAGGTGGGATTAGGATCACTGTCTTCAAAACCAGTGGGATCCTAACTAGTAGTTTAAGATCTGCCTACAAATTCTACAAAACATTACCATGTTTTTGCCTACAAAAACATTAACCAGATGATAATAACAAACTGGGCACAACTTAAATATCCTTTATTGGGAACTGGTTAAATAAACCGTGTAGGCTCTCTGGTACTCTGTAACTGTTAAAGAGTGAAGCCCGTCTATAAGGGCTACAGTA